GGGGGCAGGAGCAGGGGGAGACCCCCGAACCGGAGGGGTTGCTCTCCTGGAAGCCCTTTTACAGCGCGTTATAGACCGATCCTGACCGTCAGGGACACATGGAATCATAGAATAGTTCGGGTTGGAAGAGACCTTAAAGCCCATCCAGTGCCACCCCCTGCCCTGGGCAGGGACACCTCCCACCACACCAGGTTGCTCCAAGCCCCCTCCAACCTGGCCTTGAATCCCTCCAGGGATGGGGCAGCCACAGCTTCTCTGGGCAACCTCTTCCAGCCCCTCACCACCCTCACAGGAAAGAATTTCTTCCTTATAGCTACAAAATTCTTCAAATCAGAACAGCTTGGGATGGGAGAGACCTTTAAAAGTCATCTGGTCCATACCTCCTGCAACGAGCAGCGACATCTTCAACTAGATGAGGTTCCTCACCCGCTCTCCTCCATCCCCTCTCCAGAGCAGCGGTTTCTTTCGGTATTATCTGAGAGTTCTCAGAAATTCAGGGGGGAAATGCACAGGCTGATTCTGCTTCCCCTTCTCCAGACAGCCTGCGCTTCCAGCAACAACAGACTTCGTCAGGAAAGGGAGGTGCTACAGGAGCAACTAAGCAAAAATTCTTCCTTTTCCCATGCAGGCTGTACACCCGGGATTCCAAAGGGATAGAATCCAGCCTGCCTGCCCCCGGGGGTCCCTCCTGCACCAGTTACTTCCCACAATTCCTACAATCCATCATGCAAAACATAAAGATTATATGTTTTTCTGCACCTCGTCCCAAGCATGGGGGTCACGGTCGAAGCTGGAGGTCACCCACCCCAAGGAGGGTCCTTCCCGGTGCTCCAAGCATCACAGCCCCCATTTCGAGCTTAAAAACCAGTTTGCAAGGGATCTGCGCTGTGAAACTGGCTCGTCCCGACGGGCAGAGCCTTTCCTCTAACGAGCAGCTCCCAGCACTGATTGCAGAAACCTCTTTTTGAGGAACCACAACCGCTGGGGCTCATCGCTCTGTTCCATGGGGCAAAGCCGACATCCCCACCAAACTGTGTTCCCGCCCCCAAAAGCCTTGTGTTCCCGCAAAACAAAAAGCCTGGAAAGCGCTTTTATCTGGCTGCTGCCCTCTACAATCGCTCCCAGTTAACCACCCACTCACCAGGAAGAGCCATCCCGGGCACGGCCGTCACCCGGGCTTGCTGGCCCCGTGCCTCCGCCTCGTAGCCAGACGGTCCCGTGGTTTCCAGGCTTGAACCGCAGAGCCCGACCCACCGGCTCCTGCCCCCGGTTTGCCCCACTTTGGTAAGACTTTACGAACAAACAATTAACAGCCGCAGTAATGCATGGGGTCATGGACTGCTCCGGGGTGTGGAAGCAGGGAACCTCTGGAGGTTTCTGTGTCTGTCTCCGATGCCACTAAACCCTTTGTCCATGTGCTATACATACAATAAGTATACGTATACAAAAGTTCCCATGTAACTTCGATGAAAAGTCGTATCACACCCTTAGTCCTTTGCTCTTTTGCGTACCATTGGTGACTGCTTTTCCAGGAAATCCCAGCTGGGCAATTTTCACAAAAGCTTATCATCAGGCCTGTTCCTTGTGGGGTCTTCTAAGGTCTTCATAAGCAATCAGCAGCACATCAGACCCATCTGTGAGAATAGATATGCCTTGTTAGAGGCAAACAAAGTGGGATTTTTGAAACACTTAAGGGATTCTGACTTTTACTGAGTTAGAGAGGCCTGTCCTACATTACAAGAAAAAGGGCTTTTGTTGTATACTGCTCTTCCAGTTTTGATCTTTTTCATGCTCTTTGATCCCATTCCCACTTCACCTTTCTTTGGGGCCAGTCTTTTTTCAGTGGTGCCCAGTGACAGGACAAGAGGAACTGGGCACAAACTCAAGTATAAGAAGTTACATCTAAACATGAGGAGGAACTTCTTTATTTTGAAGGTGGCAGAGCCCTGGAAGAGGCTGCTCAGGGAGGTGGTGGAGTCTCCTTCTCTGGAGACATTCAAGCCCCACCTGGACACATTCCTGTGCAACCTGCTCTGGGTGACCCTGCTTTGTCAGGGGGTTGGACTAGATGATCTCCAAAGGTCCCTTCCAACCCCGCATCACTCTGTGACTCCGCGAATAATTGCACAACTGGGAGCAGTGGCACAATGGCTGCAGCTGGGTTTGGGCAAACCCTGTTGCCATTAATGCTGTGTCATGTCCAGCGTCACCTCTCCCCAGCTGCACATTTTTCTCACACCCTGCCTTAAATACCAAAAACCACCAAGGACTCTGTTTCTGCTGGAAATGACACTCAGGGTGAGTTTTTCCCCCCAAACCAGGAGGGAAAAGGCAGCATTGCTACACTTGCTGGACCAGCCACTGCTGTTTTTCCTGTCCCTTAAGCCCTGCAAGCACTTGCAAAAGCAAAAGCCATCCCAAACCCAACACAACTTGTCATATCCCCTCGCGTGAGTCAGTGTGCCGCAGCCCTGCCTCGGGGGCACCGCTGCATGGGATGCCGGGGTGGGAACCCCCCTGTTTCCCCTGCATTTCTCCCTCCCCCCCAGCACAATCCTGCACAGGGAGCCGATGGTATTTTCCACTGACTCACCTGCCCCGGCTCCTCCTCCCGGCAGCGCTGCCCCTTCCCTGATCACCTTCCTCCTTAATCAAAGGCCAACTTTGAGAGCTGTGCTATAAAAAAAAAATAATTAATTATTACCTATATATGCAGATATTTTGGATATTTGGATATTTTTTTTTCTTTGCACAGATTGCTTTGCATTTTCAGACTCGGCCACCCGCTCAGGCAAATTCCCCCCTCTCCTTCCCTTCCCCGTAGCACCTTCCTGTCTCAAACACAGAATCATGGAATTGTTGGAGTTAGAAAGGACCTTCTAGAGATCATCCAGTCCACCTCCCCTGCCAAAGCAGCGTTGCCCAGAGCACATCACTCAGGACGGCATCCAGGGGGGGCTTGAAGATCTCCAGAGAAGGGGACTCCACACCCTCCCTGGGCAGCCTCTTCCAGGGCTCTGCCACCCTCATCCGAAAGAAGTTCTTCCTCAGATTTGAGTGGAACTTCCCATGTTCCAGGTTGTGCCTGTTGCCCCTTGGCCTGTCCCTGGGAACCACTGAAAGGAGTCCGGCTCCATCCTCCCTCAAACGGCCCTTTAGATCCTTGGAAGCATTAATAAGGTCTCCCCTCAGCCTTCTCTTCTCCAGGCTAAAGAGCCCCAGCTCTCTCAGCCTTTCCTCATCAGGGAGATGCTCCAATTCCTCCATCATCTTGTTTGCCCTACGCTGGACTCTCCCCAGCAGTTCCCTGTCTCTCTTGAACTGGGGAGCCCAGCACTGGACGCAGGATTCCAGTTGTGGCCTCCCCAGTGCAGAGCAGAGGGGGAGAATGACCTCCCTCCACCTCCTGGCCACACTCTTCCCTACACAGCCCAGGATCCCACTGGCCTCTTGGCTACAAGGGCACATTGCTGGCTCATGGAGAGTTTACTGTCCACCAAGACCCCCAGATCCTTCTCACAAACCTGTCGTCTCCAGCAGCTCCGTGGGTCAGTAGCTACAGCAGCAAACAGTCTTCTCTGCTGGTGAGCTGCAAGGAAGCAGGGGGAAAACGCACTTTTCACTGTGACTGTCACCAACCCTGCATTGGGAGAGCCCAGCCCCAGCCCGAGCCAGGTCACCCACCCTGCAGAGAGGCCCTGGAGTCGGCGAGCACAGAGGGGACACAGAGCTCCTCGGGTTCCCGCTCCCTCTGCAAGGCTGAATATTGGCCAGAAAAGGCCTTTTCCATGGCAGCAGGCAGCTGCACGTCTCTGTGTCGGCACGCTCGAGCCCTTTCAGCTCTCCCTTTGCCCAGTTTTTCCCATTTGGGGCACATTTCTTTCCCCTCTCCCCTGACGCTGCCCACCCCACCTCATTTGCCATTCTTTAAATTACGGGGGCTTGTTTCTATCCCTGGGAGGGCAGAGCCTGGGTGGCTACTAACACACTATGTGCTTTGCTGTGGGCTGATGCGTTTATTTGGATTAGCCCACCAGGTTTTTCTTAGGCTCATTTGCCTTTCTCCCTACAGCAGCCATCCAGCCAAATACGTGGGATAAAGGCTTTGTTTGTACAGAAGCACCAAGGAGGAAACAGGAGCCCCGCCGGGAGCCATCAGGAGGCAACAAAAGGGCCTTTCAGAGGGGCATCTGATGCCCTGGCGCTCACTGGAGATGCCAGGGACTCACGTTACCCGGCATTACTGGCAGAAATTGCTCAGAGACAGTTTCCCCTGCTTTTTTCTGCTCAAAGGTGCTCAACATGTACCTTAAAATCACCACTGCAAATCCCAGCCCAGAGCACAGCCACGTCCTGGGATTCCTCCAAACCTGTCCAACAGCGAGCCGCAAGCACCGCTCCGGGTGACACCCCACTCCTGGAGCCAGACGGCTTGTCCTGGAAAAGAAAAAGCCCATCCATTTGAGTCAAGTCACCGGAGCCACCAGAATGCATACCTATTAATACAGAGTTATTTCATTGAGTTAATTAGCACCAGAAGCGTAACACATCTGGGGCTGGAGAGGATGCTTGGGTTTCTACTCCCTCTATCCCTTTGATTCCCACCCCCCAGGGCAGGGGGACAGTCCCGTCCCAGGTGCTTGCACCCCTCCAGGAGAATCATTCCCTGCCTCTGCTAATTAATGCTGCCCCATTGCCAGATCAGGAGCCAAAGCCCCTCTGGTGGTGAGCCCTGATACGTGGCACGTAAACCTGTGCTCGGGGGCCACATCCAGCCCCGTCCCAGCACCACCAGTGCTCGCCGCAGCTGCCGGCGTGTGGGTAAACACGAGCACAATATTTGCCAGGCACACCATCTGCCCAGGGAGCTGCCGCCCTGCTGCCATCTGCGCTGGCAAGATGGCTTTGGTGGCCGCGCCACCGCCACCCGCTGCCAGCCAGAGCCTGGCCCACAGTCCCCACACGCTCTATCCAGCCCAGGTTGGTTTTCCCAGTGTTTCCCACGAGGACATGGAGCACAGCAGATTCCCTGGGATGAAAGTCCAGACCCCCTGGGATGAAAGCCCATCCCAGCCTGCTGCATGATGGGCTCCCAGTTCCCAGCCCATGTACACTGGTCTATAGTGGTATCTCTCTTCCCCACACATGGCAGAGATCCTGGGATGAAAGTCCATCCCAGCTTGCTCTGTGATGGGCTCCCTCAGATCACAGTTCCCAGCCCGCATGTACTGGTCTATACTGGTATCTCTCTTCCTCACGCACGGCAGAGCCCTTGGGATGAAAGTCAATCCCTCAGGATGAAAATCCATCCCAGCCTGCTCCGAGATGGGCTCCTTCAGATCCCAGTTCCCAGCCCATGCGCACTGGTCTATACTGGTCTCTCTCTTCCCCATGCCTTGGTATCTGTTTCTCAGTTTAGAGAGCACCTGCTCTGGAGTTGCAGGCTGGGAACCTGCTGCACAAATGGGGGGAAAAAAAAGAGGAAAAGCAGGAGCCCAGGAGCATTTCCAGCTGATCCTGCTTGGCCCAGCCCAGTGCTTGCCAGGTGGGAGGATGGGACCTGCTGGCATCTCCAGCCCTTCATGCTGGGAGCTCCTTTCCAGGTGGCCGGTGTCCCCGGGGGCTGCCGGGACATGGCCCCGTGGAGGACGGCAGTTCCAGTACAACCAGTCCAACCAGGTCACCCTCTGCCATTTCGAGCATGCGCACCCTCCACCACCGGGAAAACGGTGTCAGTCAAGCTGCCGCGTTAATTATAAGAGTAATAAAAAAACCCGCTGCTTCCTCCCGGCACTGGCATTGGGGTCTCACCTGGGATACTCTGGCTCAGTCCTGCCTTGCCAAAGGCTGGGCACAGGAACCCCCCCTTCGCTGCCAGTGACACATGTGGAAGGGGACAGACAAACTTCTTCATGTTTTTCTTGGGGTCCCCGTGTCCCATGGGGTGCCATCAGGATGCCAGTGGCTCGATCAGGACAAGAGGGTTGGGAATATGAGATCCAGGGCTGGAAGAGAGGAGCTATGGTGGCATTGCATGGCTGGACATGCTGAGCAGAGGTTTGATGTGGCTCTGCAGAATTAGCAGCAGATGGCGAGCTATGGCTTGTGCCGGAAAAGGGGAAAATGCTGGGAAGTCACTCACCAGCGACGGCAAAACTCCAAGGAAACCTTATTACCTGGACACGGGGCCTGATCCAGTGTCCCGGGTGGATGGAGTGAGCCGGTTTGCGGCACTGCGGGTGCTCGTGGCTGCACCAGGTCAGGGTGAAGGGGAGACAGCTGCAGGGTCAATGCTCTCTCGGCAGAGAGGGATGTCCCAAAAGCCACAGGGGATGTCTGCAGCAAGGGATGCTTTTGGGCACTGTCACATCCCCAGGGACTCAGAAAGGTGTTTCCAACATCGTCTTTGTACACACAAAGCAGCGAGAGTAGAAAACACCTTCAGGGAAAACACTGAAAATGGGGGAATAAATAACCAGGACATTTCCAACCTTTCAGCGATCCCGAGCAATAACCCAGCAGCCCGGGCAGCAACCCATCTCCCCGCATTTGGGGAGACGCCACCATTCGTGACCCCCGTCACCCACAGCCTGTGACCGACCACGTCTCCAAATCCACCAGTTACCCTCACAATCCATTCCAGTATTTAACATAGACAGGTTTAGCTCTTTCATGCAAAATGTAAGTCCCCAGGGGGGTGAGATCACCTGATGGGGTGAGCCAGTGCCAGGGCAGGAACCCCTCCAGGACTCACCCCTGCTTCCCGTCTGCAACCTCTCAGACCTGCTCCTGATCTGCAGGGATTTAGTGCGTGGCAAACAGCGCGACAGATAAACACAGCTCCGGTTGTAATGTCACCCAGAGATGATGCCAGGACCAGCGTGGCTCACTCACACACCAGTAACGGAGCTCAGCAGTCCTTGGGTGCCCCCCCGTGAAGGGCACCCTGGCCATCCCAGCACGACACCTTGGGTGATATTTTCCTCTCTCGGTCTAAAGTCCTTGCTGGGGAAAGCTCCTGTGACTCCGTCTGCACAACATTATCTGGGCGAAGTGCACAAACAGTGCAAGTCAGCCCTAAAACAAACACACCCCCGCACCAGACCTAAAAATATTGCATTTATCGGGCTGGGTTCTGCATCTCAAAGGACATGAATGAGTCTTATTTCCAGCGAGGAGCGCTGGAGGCGGGGGGATGTTTGTTGACTTTGGCCATCGAAAGTCAAGTGGCCATGGAACCCTTTGGCCACATTCAGTGAGGAGTCTCAGTGGGCAAAGGGGTGACCGGGATGGCTGTGGTGTCCCCCGTGTTGGGCTGCGGCTCAGGGATGGCTCACACAATGCCAGGGATGCAGCCAGCATGCCAGGGGGATGCAGCAGCCATGCACCAGTCCCCGCGTGCCCACCCACCACTGCCAGCGACATGTAGGGCAAGGAGGGGGACAAAGCTACCCAGACAACACCCCTCAGCCCAGGACAACCCCATGGAATGCAGAAAAAGCCTGCTCCACTCGCCCTGGCTCTGGCACAGATGACACCCATGTCCCCCTCCACAGGGGCAAGTGGTGGCCCAGGACACCCGGCGTGGTCCCCAATGGCACAGGCATCACAACCAGGACTGGCATTGCACCCAGAGCTCTTAAACCCATGGCTGGGGTGGGCAAGGACATGCATCCCCTCCCCTGCACATGAAGGACAGACACACACACATGCAAGGAACCGCTCCAAGTGCCACAAACCCCACCACAGTCCGTGCCCAGCTGATCTCTCCACAGTCACATTTAATGCAATGTTTAATTCCCAGTACTACTGTTATTACAGCTATAGGTGACAGAGCTATGGAGCCAGTTGGTTTCTAGAGCTTGAACTCTCCCCCAGTTGAGACTTTGGTGGCTCTTACCTGCTCTGCAGCTGCTCATAAACCCAGCGGGATGTTTCTGTTGGAAAAGAAGAAAAAAAAAAAAAGAAAAGGTACATCTCTTCATATATACTCCCATTTTTGAAAAACAGAAAACCATTGAAATGGTCTTTTTTTCTTTTTTTTTTTTTTCCTGGTCAATCATAGCTTGAGTATCTCGAGTGGCTCAGACTGTGGAGAGCGGGTCTGGAGGATGCTTTCCCTGCAGGACACCATGGCCCCTTCCCCGTGTACTGTCACCCGTGACCCATGCACCCACAGCCCTGCCTCTGTCACTGCCATCCTCCGCTTTGCTCCAGCCTGCCAACACAGCCACCACCCCCAAAACAGCATCAGGCCCCGCTAGAAGTGCTGGCACAACCCTACAAGTGACAAACACCATCTGTAAATTCACAATAATTATTTATCCATCCTTAAATTATTAATAATCGATCCACTAGCAAGCGCTACAGAGCACTAAAATGTCTCCTTTCTCCATCCCACCTGCTTTTCTTGGCATTACATCTTCCATATCCCAGGGGAACACCCCCTGGCTGTTCCCCGCCCCCCAACATTCCCAAATCTTCACTCACCTTAAATCCCTATTTTATAGGGATGCACTGACGGCCCCAGTCTCCTGCCTGGTCCAAGCACTCAGCCGGCACCTAGTCCTAGGAAAGAGGTGGACCAGGGATGCAACCTTCTCCTGCATCCCTCCCCGCCTCCATCATCCCAGGGACCCCCCACTCATACAGCAGCCAGGGCAGGGATGACATGGACCCTGCCCTGCACCCCTGTGGCTTGTGGCCAGTGCCACGACAGCAATGCCCACGGGCCACTGCCGGCGTCAGCCCAGGACCTCCATCAAGCAAGCAATTAAATCACGTGGAGTTCATCCGTACTTTAAAATAAGCTTTATTTAGATCTTTTATAATTTTATATTTGCATCCATGCCTTCAAGGATTCTCCCCCACTCACGTGGGGAAAAGTTAAATCTAATGTTACCCATAATTCATATGCTATTTATCGAAGTTCTCTTTTAAATAAATCATCCTCTTAGTAATTTTTAGAATTATTTCCTAATTTACAAAAAAGCTGAAATGCAAAGGAAACTACTCGATAACAAGGAGATTGCTCATCTGTTCCGGTGGTTTATAGTTTAAATTATAAAAACACAAGGAGAACAAAAAAGAAAAACAAAACAAAAATACCCCCCAAAAAAACAACAAAAAAAAAGTATAAAAATGCTTCTCTGCAGAGAAAAGTGCCACGGGGCAAACCCTGCCCCCCGTGGCCTCTCTGCATCATCCCGTTAGCAGGAATACACAGCGCAAGGGCATCAGCGGTTTAGTTCGGTGATTTAAGACAAAATACCCCCTTTTTTTTTCAACCAAGGGCGCGCGGATGGGAATTAAGAAAAATAATACACTATTATAGCGTCATTAAATAAATCTTAATACATTTTTAAGAGCTTAAAATTATATCGTAAGCATTAAAGCATAAGGTACTTATCTTGGCATAAGCAGAGCGCAATGCGTGTTAGTGGAGAGGGGAAGTGGCCGCCGCGCTGCGGGGTGGTGGTTTTGGGGCATTTTCCAGGGGATTTGGAAGCACAAGCTCCACCTGTGCTTAAAAATCACCCCGGCGCCAGAAAAACCTCCCCGATGGGGCCTCGTACCGATTTCCCCCCCCCCGATGGCAATAACACCCCGAAGACGGGCAGCCCCAGAGGGGGCGACGTGTTGGGATATGGGGATATTTTGGGATATTGCCTTTCCCCTCCTCCCAGCTCATACCGGATCCCCCAAATTTTACTCAAAGGATCAGCCCCCCCAAATGCGGGGAGGGGAAAAAACACAGGCAAAGCTCCCCCCGCAAGCTTCCCCCCCACCCCTCCGCCCTGACTGATTTCCCGGCGCATATTTAGGTTTGAGTTTTCCAAGGCATTAAGTGCTCCTGGGGCATCTCGAGCCCAGGGAGGGGGGGGTCCACGGCTCCAGCTCCCCCCAGCCTCCCCGGCAGCAGCTTCCCAGGACAGTACAGTACAAACACACCCTTCCTCCTCCCAACCCCATCCCAACCGACATGGAAAAATATAAAAATCCCAAAAAACTTCTGCAATAATTTAGTTAGAATAGCTCCTCTGGGTTTGTGCAAATAAATTAAAAACAACTAAAAAGGAAAAACGTTAAAACACTTATTTCCAGACCGGCAGGCGGTAACAACCAGCCCATGTCGCCTCCGCGGGATTCGGTCAGGAAGACATCACAGCAAATGAGATAATTTTTTTTCTTCTTTTTTTTTTTTTTTCTTGGTGTGTGTGTGTGTTTTCTCTCTTAAGGTCCCTCAGCTGGGCAGGTCCTTGGTCCCCGAGCGAGGACGTCCCACGGGCTGGGCTCCGGAAAACAGCGGGTTTCAGACAAGAGACGTCACAAAAAGCACAAAGTGCACAATATTTCTGTTATTTACAGAGACACAGCAGTCCTTCAAGTTTCAAGTTTCATCAAAAGAAGGAAGAAATAAGAAAACGACGACGAAGAAAAAAAAAACCACCAACAACAAAAAAAACCCCAACCCAAACCGACCAACTGAAGTGACAACAAAGGAGTTACCGGAATGGGGAAAATAAAAACAAACACAAAAAAAGGGGAAAAAACTGAAGTTACAACACAGCTGCATGGCTCCCAAGACGACAGGTAACACGTCCACAGGCGGGGCCGGGGGGGGGTATGTACATCAGCGACGGTGGGGCCGGGGAGAGGCTCCCGGCGCTCGCCCAGCGCTGGGGGGGGTCACCAGTCCGCATCCTCCTCGATGTAGTAGTCGGGGGCCGTACCGTCAAAAAGGCCAGGGTCGAGGGACTTGCGCTGCTTTCCCCGGGCAAACACCCTGGAGATGGAGCCGAAACCCATCTTCTCTTTCTTCTTTTTCCGTTTCTGGTCTTCCAGGTCTTCTAGAGACTGCGTGGCGGGAAGAAGAAAGGGGTTTGGCCACCAGATTCTTCATCCACCAGGTGGTGTCCACCCACCCATAACCCAACCCCCACCAGGGATGAGGGACAACAGGGCCCACGTCCCAAAAAAAATACTCGGGTCCAACTCCAAAGCAATGTTAAGATCCTGAACCAAAAGAAGAATATATTCCTGAAATACAGGTGGTGGAATTTCCAGGGAAATTGGGCCCTTTCTCCACATTTCTGGGAGTTTGGCTTCTTAATTCAATTGGTTCAGGGTTGTAAGATCAGAGCAAGGCTGTGTCCATGGCTTACAAAAAATACCCAACATTTTAGGGTCAAACACAGCAGAATAACCTGATCTAGGCTCGGCCTTACAAAAAAAAATCAAAATAAAGACCATGATGGGCCCAGCACAGCAACCACCTATGGCACTACCTGGATTTTGGGGCAAATCATGCAATCTGAGACATCCCAGGCTTACAATTCAGGATGGCTTCTGCTCTTTTTTTTTAATAAAAAACCCAAATCAATGTCCCTGAGCCCTCCCAAATCATGGACTAGCACAAGACCGGGTCTCACGAGCAGGATTTAAACAGGGCTTTGTGCCCTACCTGTACAATGGGGTTGTGCAAGTTCTTCTGTACCGGTCCAGGACTGTCTCCCTGTGGCAGAAAGAGATGGATTCAATTTCACCAGCCCCAACCCAGCCTGGGACCCCCCCCACCAATTCCCAGTAAAAACCAGTTTATTCTGGCAGCTGAATTGCTGTGGGGCTAGGATAACCCAGGAAAGCAGCTTTCCAGGTCAGCAAACCTCCAACCCATACACCACCTCAAAAAACCCACAGTTTTTGGAAATGGAGGACCTGCAGCATCCCCAAAGTTTGTCCCCACGCCGGCAGGACCCCCCTGCAGTGGGGAAGCAAGCCCTCCCGCCCTGCCCCCCACCATTACAGAGTGCCTTACGTTGCAGAGAGAGTGCGTTCGATGCCGGGGCGAGTTGATGTCGCTCGGCGTAGACGACCGGTCGCCCTCGGCCGCGGAGGCGTCGGAGATGATGGACGGCTGCCGGGAATGACAGGGACTCACTCTGACCGCTGGAAGGGAAGACGGGAAGATCAGGGAGTTAACATCATGCCACCAAACCTGACCCCACACACTTCCAAAACCCCCATTTTTGGGACGTTTTGCCCATTTTTTTTCCCCCTCTATGGGGGAATAAGGCAGCTCCCCAACAAGGGTTTGACCCCACACCTCGAACATAGAGTCATAGAATGGTTTGGGATGGAAGGGACCCTAAAGCCCACCCAGTCCCACCCCCTGCCCTGGGCAGGAACACCTCCCACCAGACCACATTGCTCCAAGCCCCCTCCAACCTGGCCTTGAACCCCTCCAGGGATGGGGCAGCCACAGCTTCTCTGGGCAACCTGGGCCAGGCTCTCACCACCCTCACACCAAAGAAGTTCTTCCCCAGATCTCAGCTCAGTCTCTCCTCTTTCAGTGTCAATCCCTTCCCCCTCCTCTTATGGCTCCCCTCCCTGATCCAGAGTCCCTCCCCAGCTTTTCTGGAGCCCCTTTAGGGACTGGAAGGGGCTCTGAGGTCTCTCCAGAGCCTTCTCCAGGCTGAATCCCCCAACTCTCTCAGCCTGTCCTCACAGCAGAGGGGTTCGAACCCCTTGCAGCATCCTTGTGGCCTCCTCTGGACCCATTCTCCAACAGGTCCATATCCTTCCTGTGCTGAGGACTCCAGAACTGGACACAGTGCTCCAGGTGGGGTCTCACCAGAGTGGAGCAGATGGATTGAAACACCTCCCTGGACCTGCTGATTCATGGCAGGGGGGGCTCACCTTGCCGGTCGGCCGAGTGCTGGGGGTGGGAGTGGTAGAGAGTCTGCTGGCTCTGCCGGATGGCGGCCGTCAGTGGGAGGTCAGCCTGCATCACCCATTCCTGGTTGCCGTTCAGCACCGTCTCCCCCGGCATGGCCAAGGAGTGGCGCTTGGGGACGTCCTTGGTCAGTGTGGCCAGGGACTGCTTGGCCTGGGGAAGGACATCGAGGGTGGTGGTGATGGGTAAGGAAAAAACATATGAACATCTCCCAGAGCAGCGGAACCATCAGCAACACACTGCAACAAAACCACCCTCCCCTTTGCAATTAAAAAAACCCCAAATTTTGTCGCTCCCTGCACTGAAAATATTCAGCTCGTTTTAGCGATGGATTATTTTTTCCAGCCAATGTTGCAATAATGCAACAACGGCAGCAAACACACGCGTGCAACAACTGCAACGAACGCTTAAATGCGGTATTGCAATAAATATTGAACAGCAGGGGCACAGGGCTGGCCCCAGAGTCGTGCCCACTGCCTTCTGCAGCTCACCATGGCCAGCTCGGCCTCCAGCTCCTTCATGCGGTTGTCTTTCAGGTCCAGCTGGGAGCGCAGGGCACTGGCATGGTCCGTCGCCTCCTTGGCTTGTCGCCGCAGCTCCCACTTCTCCCTCTCCAGGAGGTCCTTCTCCTTCGCCAGGGCTTTCACCGCGTCCTCACTCTCCTGCCAGGACAGGGCAGCCGTCAGGAAGGGGAAAACCTTTTGCCCATGGGTTTTCTGTGTGCCCATGGGATTTCCATGTCCAGGAAGGGGAAACCCATGTGACAGGAAAGACCTCTCTGCCATAAACCCCTCAGCAGCCACCCGACTGCAAGTGGCACCTTTGGGTGTCACTCTTAAGAGCCCTGTGCTGGCAGGGAGATGGAGGATATGGCCAGTCCCCTGAAAAGGGATGCCCACTGTGCAACCTGCTTAAAATTACATTAAATTTCCCAGCTTTGTCTCACTGACCTGATTTCATGGGCTGGTTTGGGTTGGAAGGGACCTTAAAGACCATCCAGTCCCACCTCCCTGCCCTTGGCAGGGACACCTCCCACCAGACCAGGTTGCTCAAAGCCCCATCCAACCTGGTCTTGATTCCTCCGGTATCTCTTTATCCTTAACCTGCTGCAGTCATAGAATCATATGGGGTTGGAAGGGACCTCCAGAGATCACCCAGTCCAAGCCCCTGCCAAAGCAGGTCCACCCACAGCAGGTTGCACAGGAACTTGTCCAGGCGGGTTTTGAATGTTTCCAAAGAAGGAGACTCCACCACCTCTCTGGGCAGCCTGTTCCAGGGCTCTACCACTCTCACAGTAAAGAAGTTCCTCCTCATGTTTAGGTGGAACTTATACTCAAGTTTGTGCCCATTTTCTCTTGTCCTGTCCCTGGGCACCACTGAAAAAAGACTGGCCCCATCCTCCTGGCACCCTCCCTTTAAGTATTTGTAAGCATTGATTAGATCTCCCTAAGTCTTCTCTTCTCAAGACTAAAAAGACCCAAGTCTCTCAGCCTCTCCTCACAGGAGAGATGCTCCAGGCCCTTAATCATCTTTGTAGCCCTTTTCTGTACCCTCTCCAGCAGTTCCCTGTCCTTCTTGAACTAGGGGGGCCATAACTGGTCCCAGTGCTCCAGATGGGGCCTCACCAGGACAGAGCAGAGGGGCAGGATAACCTCCCTCAACCTGCTGGCCACGCTCATCTTGATGCACCCCAGGATGCCATTGGCCTTCTTGGCCATCAGGGCACATTGCTGGCTCACGGGCATCCTGTTGCCCACCAGGACTCCCAGGTCTTTCTCCTCAGAGCTGCTCTCCAGCAGGTCAACCCCAACCTGTACTGGTGCTTGGGTTTATTCCTCCCGAAGTGCAGCACCCTGCACTTGCCCTTGTTAAATTTCATTAGGTTTCTCTCTGCTTAACTCTCCAGCCTGTCCAGGTCTCGCTGGATGGCAGCACAGCCTTCTGGGGTGTCAGCCACCCCTCCCAGTTTCGTGTCATCAGCAAACTTGCTGAGGGTACATTCCATCCCTTCGTCCAGGTCATTGGTACGTCCAGCCCTTGTAAGAGCTTTCGTGAGCTTATTACCAGATTGCATCCCAGGTTTGTCACTCACGTTGCTGCCAGCCCCTGCAGTGCCCCAAGACCCCGGGTGCTGGGCTCCCACACTCACTTTCCTGTGCTGCTCGTAGTTGCGGATGAAGTCGCGGAGCTGCTCCTCACGGCTCTCCAGCGTGGCATACAACTGCTGCATCTGGCTCACCAGGTCCGTCTTCTCCGACTTCAAGCGCTTGCGGTCGGCTTTCATGGCTGGGGGGAGAGAAGACGGCTCAAGCATGGCAACCCCCTTGCCTCCATCTCTTTTTATTTTTCGAGAATGAAGTACCAAAATGACAACCCCAGGGGCTGGGTTGGGAGTAAATGCCCAATTCACTCCCATTGCTGCATCCCCCAAAATACCCAGTGCATCTCCACATCATCGCCCGCCCTCCACGGAGCAGCTCAGCCCCTGCAAAAGGAGATTTGGGAGCAAAGCTACTGCCGCGGCCTTGGGACCTGGCACAGGAAAAACCTGCTCCTCCCTTTCCAGGATAAATAAACCACAACCGGCTTTATTTTTAGCAGCAGGGTGGATTCCTGCAGTGCTCCCACCAGCCCAGGGCACGGCTCACCCCAGCGTCCCCCCTTCCAGCTCAACAATGCTGTATGGGGATGAGGGGAGGAGAGCTGAGGGGTTGGGGGGACCACAGGATGCAAGATGAAACCAGGATCTTCATGTTTTCCCTCTCCCATGCCCCAGCAAGGGATGCTGGCTGAGTACCAACACAGGGACAGATTGCTGGAAGCATGGTAAAACCAGGGAGAATTACAGAAATATGGTGTAGCACAAGGGACTTCAGAAATTTCTGCTTTTTAAGTGCTTTGCCCAGCCTTGAGCCTGGTCCTTGGCATTGCTGCAGAAACGTTCTGCGGGTCCCTGCTCCAGATACACCCCACCAATCCAAAATCATACCTGATTTAGGCATCCAAATACAAATATTGCTTTTTCATCATAGGAAGGACTTGGCATACTTTTCTGCCCTGAGGAAGCGCCGCTCTCGAGGGAGCCCCCACGATGCTCCCCGCACTTGCGGCACTGCAAAAAGTGCAGCCCTACAAGTCATTCCTCTGTATGAAAATAAAAACCACCCCAAACCCCACCCCCCTCATAAAGCCATCAAGAGCTGTCTATATTACAAAAGCCACTAGAAGACTGTAGCACCCTCCCAAGTGGGACTCATCTCCATGCACACTCACAGGTCCAACCTATTTCTATTAAATCAGACAATCCACAAGGAGTGTTTCAGCCCACGCTGCTTTTCCTAATAATCTAATAATGGGGTATTCACCCAGCACCACACATAATGTACCACCGTAATACACTGAAATAGCCCCCAAAAGAGGAGCAGCACCTCTGCTCAGCCAACTTTATAGAATTCGTTTCAATCACCCTCCGCGTCCCAGCCGAGCTCGTTACAACAACTGGTTCGAGGAGAGATTTACTCGGGTAGGAACTTATTTCTGTGCACAGATATTTCCATATGTCCGTGCTGGGAAGATGCAGAATCAAACAAGGAGTTGGGATGGAGCCAGTGAGGAAGGGAGAGGGCTTGCAGGTTGGGGGATAAAAAGGTTAAGGAAAAAAATCAGACCAAACAGAGAGAGATATTTGGGACAACAGAGATTTTTATCTCTTAAACACCAGGAGACGAAACTCTTTGGACCAACAACTCTGCCATTAAGCACCGCAGGTAAATCAAAACCCAGAAAAACAACAAACCAGGTAAGAAATGCCACCATGATTCACGTGGAAGGGGAACTGGGACAACTCAGCCCCTTTCAACACTGAATCAGAGACCCAAACTGCTGCTAAATCGTGTAGGTATTTGACTAAGAGCAATAGTGAACAGTGTGCCTTAAACTCTTTTTGAAAAAGATTGCCTAAGACCTTATGACCCCTTTGAGCTCATCTGTTATTTAGAGATAGGAATTAATGGATACAATTATAAATGTCCTGAGACCTTATAACCTCTTAAGCTTATCTATGAGCTAGAAACAGAAATTAGCAGAGACAGTTACAAACGTGTTATTAAGTAAAGTTAGTTTAGCATGTCAGGTAGGGAGAAGAGAAGAGAATCTATCATCACAGAACCAGAAAGAACCAATTTGAAGTGGTGCAAGCTGCCAAGTTTGCAAAACAAGGGACACAACGACCCAAGTTCATCTAGAAGAAAACTGATGAAGGGGAAGATGCGACCATGAAGTCAACGATCACCAGAGTGGCTGCAATTACTAATAAAGGACGCTCGATGGCAGCAAAGACGGCAAAATAACCTGTAATGTCATTATGTAGTTCCAGGTAGGCATGCTAATGTTAACCATTTTGTGGAAAAACCACAAGTATGTCAAAGCTCATGCAAATATTAACCCTTTGAAATCGCTGCTGGGTGGGAGCATCTCAAGGAAAATCCAGGTGCCACCCCAGCGCTGCAATAAGGAATACCTGCTTAATAGTCATGTTGGCTACTGAGTCCAGTTCTTTGTTTCAACCCTTGGACTTTCCTTACTTTTTTTCCAGCTTGGGAAATTACTACAGAAACCTTCTAAAAATGACCTTCGCAGGCAGGGTTGGTCTCAGCCCCATCCCTGTAGGATAACGCACTGCTGAAAACCCCTCTACTTTTAAGCCCTTGAACACTTTGTGACACACACACACACACATATATATATTTATTTTCCTCAAGGATACTGAGAGACTCTTATAAAAGTTTAAATGGCGGTGACTCTCTGATGCTGGAGGTGACAAAAGGCTCCTAAGGAATTTAATTAAATAGCGGGTCCCCTGTAGCATACAACCTGCTCTAATTAGTGGGAGCGTTCAGGGTCCTTAAAGATTTAGGGAAAAGACTTCATCCCTTGCCAAAACAAAATACAAAACGCTCAGAAGTACTATTAGGAGAAGAGTTCTGCCACCTCCCAAGGTGGAATCTTTACCAATATTCATACCAACCACTATACACTGCAGAAAGATGATGGACTTGGGTTATTAGAAGAGTGGTTTTCTTCCTATTATCTCAATAGGACAATTTACCACTTGTTTCAGTTCATATTTGAGAGATTTGCTCAAATTAATGCACTTTTTTGCCTCCTCTATTACCACCCGCTCTCCCGCCTCCAAAACCGATTAGCTCCTAAGCTTAAAGAAGATTTATCAGTCATTTGAGAACTTCATTCCAAACCCAATTAATAGGAAATTAATTGAAAGAGGCAGGAGAAAAAAAAAAAAAGTTATGCAGAAGTGAGCAGTTGGGGCTGCCAGCAATTCCTGGACCACGCACCGCACACTGCGGTGGCTTAATAAGTCCTTAGCAAACAAGCCTGGCTAATTACTCAGTGAGGGAAAACAGGCCTGTGCAATCCACGGCGCGACAGCAGCGGCGGCCAAGGAGGAATAAAGTAGGTTTTCACTGGCCATCGGGGCCATGCGAGGAGGTAAACTGGCTTTTTTTCTTTATTCTGATGATCCATGACTGGGTTTCTGTATCACAACCTCCCCCCAGAATATCCAAATAAACTCTCCCACAGCTCGTCTGCACTGTGGGCTCTGGCAAAACCTCTGACCTGTTTGGAAACCCAGGACAGCACAAGAAGCAAGAAATCCTAAACCCATACTGTGAGCAGGAAGTATTTCTCTCACACAGCTTATCTGCATTATTTATTTTCCCCTCTGACCCAAAGGCCATAGCAGAAGGAGAGGGGGAACCCACCAGCCCCCCTCGGGCTTGGCACCATGTAGCGATGGCAAGAATGGGTTGGGATCGGTGGTGTGACCCCCCCCCAGCTCTCACTGTCATCCCCCACATCTCCACCTGCACCATTAATCCTGCACGAGGTCAGCTTGCGCTCCCATTACTTGAGTTTCCACCTCCTGCCACATGATCTGTCCCCCGAGCATTGCTCCTTCGGAAGGAGGATGATGGACACAGAGCACTAATGGGACCCGCTCCGCACCGGGCTCCTCTCAGCCAAAACTATTAAAAAATCCCTCCCCAGCACCTTCTGTTCCCAGCTTTACCTAACGAGCGGACATCTAATTGCTCCAACACACCAACCTGAGGGACAGCAGCACGGAAACCTCCCAGTGGTGCCACCACTGAAAGTGCCACCACCCCCAGGCCCCTGTGTGGCCTCAAGCATCTAACAACTTCTGGATAAAAATTAGCTACCTCGTGCTAAACCCAGGCATCTTCCCCCCCTAAATTGTGGGCTGTAAGTACCATCCCCCACTTCCAAAGTAATAATAACGAATGAAAATGAGGTGGTGGCAGTCGCGCCGTCTCACCCAGGTTTGCTTGGAGGGCATACAGATAATTAGTTTGACTACCATGGTAATGTGATGTTAGATGAAAAATTATTTACTTTTGGATCATAGAAATAGCAGCTCTGCCTGGCGTCCCCCTCCTGGGATGGAGTAGCAGAGCCCAAACTCCAGCCAGGACACTGGCAGTGGACACAGCCCACCTTTGACCCCCTCCCTATGACTCCCATCTGCTTGCGAGTACTTCTCATGCCTGGTACAATGTTATTTTTCATGCCAGGAACAGAATCAGAGCTGACTTTATCACTTATGGAATAATATACTTATTTTTTAACACTGGAAAAGGCATCCTTGGGGGCACTGCTCAAGCCTCAGCGATGCCCTGCCCAAGAGCGACGCGTAAATCCATCCTGTCCCATTAACATTCTCCTGATTCTCCGTCCCTACCATGAAATTCAATATTGTCACCATGACTAACCCATAAAATCGGTCGGCCCTGCGTGAGAACTGCAGCGCCGCTCCTCGCTTTGTGATTAAATCGGTGCATGCTCCCCCGGCACAGCTGTCGCCATCTGCGGAGAAGATCTTGTCATTGAAGATGTCAACGTTACGCCGTGTTTGGCAAAGCCAGCACTTGCTCCTGGGGGTGTGGAGGTTCAGGGCAGGCAGGAAATTGGAGCATAATGTCAAATTTCAGAGAATAATTAGAGGAGGTATTCGCCTCAGAGGAATTTACCTGGAAACACCCCGCTCCGAGGCCAAGAGGTTTCCAAATCAGACTCTCAGTGGTCCACAAGGTGGTCAATGACTTCTGCGGTGATTTTATAGTGGGTTTCTGTACAGAGCCCCATATCTCTTAGGTGGAGAGGGTTTCCTCAGTTGGGTCCATGGTTGGGACACCCATCTTCTGGGACATCCATCCACCGGGAATCCCCATCTTCTGAGACATCCATCCACCAAGAATCCGCACCTTCTGGGAAGTCCATCTGCCAGGACGCCCCATCTTCTGGGAGGCCCACCCACTGGGACACCCCATCTTTCTGGGATGTCCACCTGCCAGGATGCCCCATCTTTCTGGGAGGCCCATCCACCTAGACACCCTTCTTCTGGGACATCCATCCACCCATTTCTTTGCTACCCACCCCCTTGCTGCACCTCAGGGGTGCTGAGGGTTTCTGCAGGAGGCTTGTCCCAGCACAAGTGCCATCCCAGGGGATCTCAGCTCCGAGCCACAGGTTTGGGAGGGGAGACCAGCCCATAACACGTTTGTGGAGCAGACATGAAGTCAGTTCATTCCTTCCCCAGCAGTGGGAAAAGCTAGCCCAAGGTCTCCAGCTTGGCACTCGAAGAGGAAACAAAGCAGGTTTGCTCTCTGCATGATAACCCCGCAGGCGAGCTCCAGCATATCGGATAAACCTTCCCAGGAACGGGGTTTCTGCCATTAGCCCACATGCTCACGGATGTCACCCGGCCAAGAGGCTCCTCGAGTCCCCCAGGCACTTGGGCACGGCCCCTGCCCGCAGCAGGACGCAGCAGTAATAAAGCTGTCTGCAACTTCTCCTGTGGGAGAATTCTGCATCAGAAACCCATGCCACATCCATCCCTCTCCAGCCAGGGAAAATACAGCTGCGTTAACACTAAGCACAACCCCGAGTCCCAGCAAAGGAGGAGAGGACCATAGGATGTAGCCCAACAGGATTTCATTTGGACGTTAACTGATTAAAATAAAAGTGCAAGAGATTAATTAACCCAGAAAAAAGGAGTAATAAGGATGCAAAAAGCACCCGCTGCCAGGGATACAGGAACTGCTTGAGTTACTCCTGCAGAGCATCCTGTGCCACTCCAGATCCCCGCTCCCTCCCTCTGCAGCAGGGGCTTGTTAGCACGATGCTGCATGTGCTTATCGCTGGCTTCACGCCGTGCTAAATGCTGTCGGAAAGGGCTGGAAATGCATTGCCAAGGAGGGACGATGCACCCATCCTCCGCCACCCAAACCATCACAAACCAAACCCAACCCTACGCTGCCGAGCAAAACGAAGGCTGTTAAAACTGCTGGAGCCCCCAAAAGCAAACCCCACCATCAAACCCTTGCCGCTTCCCTCCGCATTAAGGCCCAGGCAGCCCATATCTATAACCAGCTGCATCACGCTTCCAGGCTCAGTGCCAGCAACAACGACAGATTTCCATATAATTTATCCGCTAATGACATTACACACGACCCAGCGTGGGTCGGATGCTGCTGCAGCTGATGCTGCCAAGTGCAGGGCACCCTTCAGCAAGGACCACAGGGGCTGTGCAGCGACGCACGCTGAGAGGTGGGCTTGGGAGATGCTCTCTGGCTGCAGGGATGCCACCAACACCAAACCCAAAGAGCACATCCAGGTTTTCCCAAGCTCCTTGCACTGCCTTATCCTGCAGCTCCTTAATTTCCCCACATGCCTCCAGCAGCCAATCCATTTCTCCTGGCAGAGCCATTCAACCAAGTGCAGTCACTGCCATTTTTCCTCCCCCTTTGGCTACGTTTCTCTATGGACAATTTTTCACAGAAAGGAAAAAAGGAGGCTTTTTTTCCTCCCCTTCCAGCTGTTGATCCCGTTTCCACATCACCCATCTCCGTATCCGCTGCCCAGCACCGCCAGCCCAGCTCCCAGGGCCGGATCCAGCACAGTGTGCGTTTCCAAATCACACAAAAGCTTTCCAATACTGCAGAGCGGAGGGAAAAGAAGCATGGGTTTTAAAAGGCTTCTTGCTACATGCCTTTCCAAGTGCAAGCTGAGATTCCCTCTTCCTAGCCATCACACCTGCAGAGAAGTCCTGGAAAACCAATGCCAGCGGCTCATATAGCAGCCACTAAAAGCCCAATAAAAAACTAACATTATATTCCTTAAATACTTATGATCATTCTCAAGCCAAACTCATTTATTTCTACTATACTCCACAGAAGTGCATATGACCTCGCTGCAGCTTCTTAGATGACTTACTATTCTTATTTTTTAATTCTGCAAATAGTCTTAAAAATAGTTCTGCTCTACCATATTTTGCATTTATCAGCGCTTCCTCCTCCCTGTCTGCACAGAGCAAATATACTCTAATTAAGGTTTTTCTTCTCCAATTACGGTTTTATAAACCCAGAGCATTTCCTGCTGCCAGAGGCTGCACCGGGTGGCACCAAGGGAGGGGGGAAGATTTGGAAGATATTTTGGCTGTTAATAAATTATAGGGATGCTTTTGCAAATCAGAATGTGATAAAATTAAAAGCACCTGGATTGGGGTAGTTTTTCCTTGTTCTTTTCCCCAAATCGCCCACCCAAATACAGCCTCAGCCCGATTCTCTGCCCTCCTGGGGCATCTCAGCATCCTGGATGGGGGGAGACGTGGTGGGATGGGGGTCTCACCCCCGCCCCCTCACAGCCACTCAGCCTCTGAGCCTGAGAACTTTTGACAGCCTCTCCTCGTAATCCGCAAATGCAAGCTGACAAGTGGAAGTTACACCCGGTATGTTGGGGATTTGAGATGATATTTAGAGCCGCGGCACTGCCAGGGTTTGACGGGCAAAAGCTTTCCCCTGCCCAGGATCATCCCCCTGCTCCGGCCCACACAGCGTCCTGCCAAGATTTATTGCCGCCTCAGTTTGGGGGGGAGAAGAAAGCTGCATTATTGCATTTCAACCTGCAAATCCCAGTCCCAGGAGGAAGAACCTGGCCCTGACCACTGTGGGAAAACACCCAAATCACTGCAAGAGGAGAGGAGGAGACCCTGCACACCGCCTGGAGACCCTACACTCCGCCTGGAGTCCCTCCACACCGCCTGGAGACCCTACACTCCGCCTGGAGTCCCTCCACACCGCCTGGAGACCCTACACTCCGCCTGGAGTCCCTCCACACCGCCTGGAGACCCTACACTCCGCCTGGAGTCCCTCCACACCGCCTGGAGACCCTACACTCCGCCTGGAGTCCCTCCACACCGCCTGGAGACCCTACACTCCGCCTGGAGTCCCTCCACACCGCCTGGAGACCCTGCAACACTGCATGGAGAACCTGCACATCCCCTGGAGACCCTGCACGACGCCTGGAGACCCTGCACCTTCCCTGGAGACCCTGCAACACCGCCTGGAGACCCAGCCTCTGCCTTCTGCAGTGCTCCTGATAACTCATGTGGGATAAGGAAAACTGCACTCACCAGGAAACTTGCCGTTTCCCTCCTAAAAGAGTGTGAGGGGCTCAAATCCAACCTGCCCCCACCTCGCAAACCTTCCCAGCTGCATTTCAGCTGCTCTCTTGGCTCTGCTCTCTAGCCAGCCATGGAGGAATTAACTCTGCGATGCTGCAAACGCCTCCCACACCCCATTTCCCACCCTGGTCTGTCCCGGCACTGCATCTCTGGGGCAGGATGGGTGGGTCCCAGGAAGCACTGCCCTCCCATCAACCCCCCCGCCACCATACACACTGCACAGTCCAGATAGAAGGGACAGCTTTTCTTCTATTTTTTAGCTAAATTATTGAATGTTTTGGTGTCCTAGTTCATGAGAAAAGAGGGACGCGCAGCCCTTACCCTGCAGAGCCTCCTTGGCGCGGGCCAGCTCCTGCTCCTTCTGGGCTAGTTGCACCTTCAGCTCAGTGGCCGAGAGGACCTCCGGTGACTTGCTGCCGTGCGTCTCCTCCAGGTCCTTCGTCAGCATTTCCTTCATTTGCCGGAGCAGGTGGACCTCCTCCTGCAGCTGGGCCACCTCCTCCCGGAGCAGCGCTGGAGGAAGAGGAGACACAATGCGAGGAAGTCAGCGACGGCTCCTGGCATGGCCCCGCTGCAAACTCAAAACCCTGGGGGGAAATACTGCTGGGGGACCCCCCCTCTCCACTTTCAAACCTGTTTTGTACAGCCCAAAACCTGTAGTGGTCCCCACCACCACCCCCGGAACGGAGGAGGAGGAGGGAGGGACATGATGGGGAGAGCGCCACCCCCTGGGTATTAGTTATTGGGTTTGGCATTAAAAAAATTTTAAAAATATATAAAATAATAAAAATAAATTAATAAAAAATAAATAACGATAAGGAATGGTAATAATAAACCAAGAACCACCTTCCCATCCCGCTGGCTGCTCGTATGGCCAGTGTCCAGCTCCACTGTGCCCCATACGATGCGCTCTGGGCTCTGCCTCCAGCCACCCATGTGTTCAGGGCGTACTCAACAACATTCAACCAAACCCCTCTGAGACCAGAAAGGGGAAAATGACGCTTTCACACCTGCAGACTCACATCTTTAATTTTCCAGATTTACACCCAGTGACTGCTACACCCCCCGAAACAGCTGGATCGCAGGAGCATCCCCCAACCCAGGTTCCCCTCTGCGGCAGGCACCAGGGAAGCTCCAGCAACCTTGTTTTCTACAGCTGCTGAGCCCAATAAAGTGTTTTTCTGCTATTTCCACGTTGCACCCATCGCCCTCATCTCCCCTCTTCCTACAATATACTTTTTTGCCATGCACACACCACTGCAATCCTCCATACAAGCCAGATATCACAATAAAAAATGATCATAAATGATCACGAATGTCAAAAATGACAACATATGAAGTTTGATTTTGCTTTTCCTCCCTGCTTTGAGAACATGCAGAGTAAAGCCCTTGCTCAAGCCAAAGGGGATTATTGATTTATTGGGTTTGCACCATAGACACGGGGAGAAAAGAATAAATCCCTCGGCACGCACGTCACAGTTACCGGAAAAATAAAATAGAAATAAAAAAATAAATGCCCCTTCTCCAAACTACTGTGCTTGGGTCCTTTCCCAACCATCACCGAGCATCAGCCCAGCCTGTGGGACAGTGGCTGGGCAGGAAATATAGGGGGTTTTCCCCTTATTTTTGCTAAGGCTCCCCCTCCAATGTGCTGGACTGTTTCCTTTCCGCCCCACTCTGGAGGCGCGGAGGGGAGGTGACGCTGGCGGTGGGACAGGGAGAGGCGGCTCCGGCCAGCAGCTGCGCCAGGAAGGCATAAAATCTGGTTTGCATACTTTAAATGCTTCCCGTAGGAAAACTGGCAAGGCCCCATTCTGTAAATTATTTAGCAATAAAGTCACTAACAAGGAACAGTCGAGCTCTGGGGGCTCGGCTGAGGATTTCAGCACAGTCCAATGTGGTTTTTTCTTGAAATCTGGGTGAAAAAGCAAGAACCCAGAGGCGGCTGAGGCCAAAAGCATCTTCCCCGGGGGCTGCAGAAATGCAGCGTTTCCTCTCCAGCCTCTGGGAACGCAGGGGAGGATGAGAGGGACACATCTATATTGTAATATTTAGCAGACAAAACCCACCCAGCGCCTTCCCCGGCCACAGAAAGCACCACACAACCCCCCATAAAACACCCGTGGCTGCCACTAATGGCTCGTTTTTATTCTCCAACCCCCCCCCCCTCCCCCCCAACTGATAATTCATTTCCACTTTTCAAAACAAGCCACTTCGCCCAGATGAGGCAAATGTTCCCTGGGCAAATGATTAACCAGAGAAGGAGGATCCAGGCAGGGCAGTTTGTACAAGGGAGACCCATCCCAAGGGATTTCTGCAAATTGCAGCGGCTTTGGTGGGAAACGGAGAAAATCCACCGCTGGAGCAAGGGGACCTGGAGAGGGGAACAGAGCCCAAGGGCAGACAGTCCAAGGGGGGAATTCTGCTGGGGAGAATCCCGGAGAAGTCTTTTGGCATGTCCCAAAAAGCTGATTTGCAGTTGTTTCTGACAAAGTTCCTTCCCATCAAACGCTGCCCAACGCAGCTTCCCCGAAATCACACCATTTCCCTCTGGTTCCCGGTTAGAAAACAGTGAAAAAACTCAACAAGCATTCCTCCTCCGAAGCATGCAGCAAGGCAATTCAATCCCCAGCTTAGTACTCTAACTCCTGATACGGACAGAAACTACTAAAAGATTAAAATCCAAGATCTATAAGAAGCTATAGGTGCAATCTGGGAAGGAGCACGCAAGCACAGTGCTCCCCAAGCCACCAGCTGCAAGCCAAAACCTAGGGAAAAACCTGAATTATTGAACTCAGGATCAGCCAGATACCTGAGATTCTTGCTTTTATAGATATACAATTTAAGTATATATATACACACACACAAAAAATGGATTGGGCTTTGCAATATATATTTATTTTTGCAATATACATTTATTTTTGCAATACATACACTGCCAAGCACAATCCGTTTTTTGCATAGATACATATAAAAAAAAATTGCAAAGCACAATTCACACAGCCAAGGTTTAAGGGGGAAAAAAACCCAACTCTACACTTCTTGCTGGGCTCCAACAGCAGAAGACACGCCATGGGCTCTTTTAATACATGGCGAAGTGTTGCAGTCCTTGCTCTCTTCTCACCTCCCTCCTGAAGCTGCTGGTGATGCCTTCGCTGTAGAAATCAGTAATGGGCCTCCAGGCAAGTCAAACCCTCCGCGCTCTTCCCAGCAAGTTTTTCAAGGCTTTTCTGGGAAAGAAGCTGGAGTTTCAGGGAACCCATGGGGGCTACAGCATCTCCGGCTCTCCTCAATTTCCTTTGGAAACCACTAATGAGCAATTTCCTGCGTTATATCAAGCTCTTTATTAGCATCTGGACCAAAGCAGCCGTCCCATTCACTGCATTACACCTGTAATTATCCTCATTTGCATAGAGGATTTCTGGTATCTCCCCGGGCTCCCTTGTCCCATCACCACTCATCCACCAAAAATCACACCAAAGCAATTCTCACCCCCCAAAAAGTGATCTGTGCACCCCCCGCCCCCAGCACCGGAGCATCCACTCCCCATCTCTCTCCTCCAAATTTCCATCCCGTCTTAACCAGCGTCCCCAGCCCCAGCGGGTCCTAGGGAGAGAGCCCGTTTTATTTGCATAAATTGCATTAAGAGAACGACTCGGCTTGAAAGGACAATTTTAACTTCATTTTGAAACAGAGGAGGGAGAAAAACCCCGCTGCTCCGCCAAGTTTAAGCACCTAAATAAACGATGCAAGAAGCTCCATTTGCGAGGCAACTCTTAGCGACTGTTACAGAAAAAGTTCCAATAACAGGGAAAATAGGACCAATTATTCAGAAAATTCATTTCAGCCTCTATTTCTTCCACATACAGGCGGCTCGGCGGGGATTTCCATACACCTTCCCGTGAGCCATGCCTATATTTGAAGCCATAAAGGAGCTGTACGTGGCTTGAAGTCCCCCGAATGGGGAACAGGGCTCAGCATCCTGCATGAGGGGCTCCACACACCTCACAACACGATGCAAAAAATACAATATGGAGAACAGAATAATTAAAACTTTTTTTTTTTTTTGCGATATTAGGGTGCAAAGCTCAATTTGCTACTAGGAAACTGCCTCCCAAATGCAACAACCCTGACGCAAAAAGCATCCACAGCATATTTTCCCCAGCATTTTTGCCCCTTTTTATTTTTTCCTCCTATTTTTAACATCTTTTCTGGGGGGTTGTCTGCACACTGTAATTCCTGATCCCCCAGGGGGCAGGAACCATCACCCCGTGCAGATAAAGGCCCATCACACGCCAGCTCATTGCAGCCCATTCCAAATCTACCGCAAGTGGGCAGCGACGAAATTAATGCAATTTGAACATTTCCTGGACTAATTAATGAAAACTACCATTCCCTTCACACCAAAATAATTGGCTGTTAATTATATTTCAATTGATAGCATTAAACTTCCACAACACCGTCAGATTCTGCATCCTTTAAGTAATACAAGGTGTTAACAGATAATCTAAGTAAGGTGGTTTTTTTGGGTTTTTTATTATTCTTTTTTTTAATTGTGATGAAAACCTCCAGAGAGCATTTGGGGCTTAAGTTTCCACTCCTGCTCCTGCAAATCCCATCTTGGACCCCTCTGGGGATCGGATCCACCAGCCACGCAGCAGCAAAGCCTTTTACTGGCCTCGGAGCAGGCATCCATTTAAAAACATTCTTTTAAAAGCTTCCCCCCGCCCCGTAACTCAGCTGACACGATTGCTGTACACGCGTTTCTGTCTGCAGAGGGTACATATTAAAAATGAATGCAGCATAAACGACAAGGTTTATGTTGGCGGAATTAGTATCTAGGGTGAAAGCTGCATTTTGTGCTGCTTGTGCAAGTTTAGAAGCAAGATGGTTTTTGCTCTGCCGGGCACAAGTTGAGGGGTCTTTTTTATCCATGACAGCAGCAGCAGCGTATCAATAACTGGGGTGAAGAGTGGGCAGAAAGAAAAGCTTCACTTGTGGACTAAGAGCTTAAAATCAGCAGTGGATCAGCCCAAAAAGTGACTTCCCAGGCCCTGCACAATGATGAAAACAGGGGAAAAATAGTCCAAAATGGGAAAATGCAGTATTTCTGTGCTAGTGGCATCACCTAACAGCCCCTCATACACCGAGAGCATGGTGCAACCCTTCGTCCCTCCCCCTTCCTGCAAAGCTTTGGCTCAGAATAAATAGTTATATAAATAGATAAATATAATAGTTATATATAATATATATATTTATACATATTATATATATAAACACAAACATACATGTGCATACACCTCTGTCCCGGGATGGGGAACATAAGGGTCATAGGATAAAGGCCATTATTAGAAGAAAACAACGATTCAAGCACTAGGGATGAGCTGAACTAGTATTTTAAAGAGCGTCTCATCACCTTTGATCACTAAGTAGCTCCCCAGCTTGGGACCTTGGTTCTCCTGCTGAAAGGTTCAACCCAGCCCTCCACGCGACGTATGGTTTTCCCCTCTCAATACATCTCTGCAAGCAGGAATTGGGAGGAAAAGCAGAGATTTCCAAGCAGAGATTTCCCAGCAGAGGGCTGGGTGACAGCTGGGGACAGAGCAGAGGGACCAACCACTGCCATCCCCCAGGCGTGCAAACAGCCCGGCCTCTCCTGGGACACAGGTCACACTCAAGAAAACATTTGATTAGCCCAAAATTTGCAAGATGACCCAGTTACCCACACGGCTCAAGACCTCCCGGTGCAAAGCCAATATGTCCAACGGCATCTTGCCCAACATGCCCTTCCACACCTGGACACCACGATGGACCCAAGGCCCAGGCAACATCTCCTCATGGGGATAAACCCCAGGGCTCATAGCTCGTCCCTTTGCACCTTCAGCCAAGTCCCCAATGCCACCCATCCCACCTACACCCCTGGGCATGACCCCGGAGGAGCAGTGGGCCACCAATGCTCCCCCCTGGGTGAGGGGACAGGACATTGGGGACCCTCAGCTAATACAGTGAATTTGGCTCCGTACATCCATCTTTTGAAGATGGAAGCTTTAGGTTTCACCCCCTGCTACCGCTGTGATGCTGCGAGCGAGCGAGCCATCACGCCTGGGCACAGGTAGGGAAGCTCCTTGGCAAGTCCAGGTTCAAGGTTTCACCCAAGGAGCATAAATCCCCGCAAACAGCAATTTTGAGCATTTTCAGAGTTAGACGGTGGCTCAGCGCTCCCATACGGTCGCAGTCCTGGAATGGGACCCCTATTGCATACCCTGGGATGGGACCCCCGTTGCACACCCCGACCATGCACCACCAAACGGCGCTTGCACCCCCCTCGCGCGCAGCTGTGGGACAGGACACACATCACCCCCATGTCCCGGCACCCCCCACCCCCCCCCAAAAAAGGATTATTCCCAGCAAACCAAAGCCTGCTCGCTCAGCTCCCCTGGCCGCATGCTGGCGGGTATAAAGAAATAAAACCTGATAT